GAAAAGCTGATTACACCAGGCTGAGCATTCCCAGTGCTCTGGCACTGCTGGAAAAGCTGATTACACCAGGCTGAGCATTCCCAGTGCTCTGGCACCGCTGGAAAAGCTGATTACACCAGGCCCTGGGCTCAGGGAATTCCTTGCTGGAGTCTCCACGGTGTGGTGGAGCCAATTGAGTAAAACTGTGCCTGCTGCTGAGAGCAAAAGGGGTCGGGGAAGAGGCTCTGGAGTTTGGTGGGAAGCACCTCATGCTTTCAGAGCTTCCTGGGTTCTGAAATGCAATAAAAAGAGTCCTCTGAAGGAAAAGTTTTCAAATCTTCTGAAAAAACTCAAACAGATGTTTGCCAGGTTTTAAATATTTTCTGAGTTTGGACTTATTGTAGAATTACTAACAAAGGAATTTCATGCTGAAAGCTTTTTTAATGAAAAGAGTGGAATTTTAAAGATATAAATTTACTGCAGGACATTTTTCAGCTGGCATTTGTAGGACAGGTAAATTTATTTTGAATAATATTTTATAGATTTTAAATCAAGTGTTTTTGTTCTTTAGGCATAAAATCTGCCAAGAGGAAAAATAATTTTAAATTATTAATACAGATGAAGCATATCAGTAATAAATATTTCACAGCAGCTTGAAGACCCAAAGGCAGAAGTCCTGTTCTTTTACCTGCCATGTAAAGGAATGAAACCTGGAATGAAGAGGCTCTCTTTCTATAACTGCCATGGCAGGAAAGGATTCTGTAGGAATTTTATGTCATGCCCAAATTCTCAGAGGCTATTTTTCTGATTTTTAACTTGCTCTCTTATTCTCAGGAACAAAAGGTGCTCTTGGGCTCTGTGGCCAGATTTAATTTCTTATTTATTCACCTGCTTGCAGACCTTTGAGGTCTGTGAGTTATTCTGTCAGTGCCTGCTGTGCATTATTTTTGATTATCTGCATATATGGTAAGAAATAATTTGGTCCAAGATTGTTACTGAAAATCCAATATTTCCCATAAAAGCATTCAATCTTCCTAATGCCAATTTTTTAAGGATATAGAATGGAAAATTTCTTTTCAGCGTTCCTTTCCTTCTCATTCTCTGACTCCTTAATTAAATTTCTATCTAATTATACAATTTATTTTGTGTTGACCTTTCAAAAACCTTAGAGTATCAGACAGTGAATGTAGAGTCTGTGTTTATTTCCATGGGTCCTTGAATGAATTTGTTATAAAGGCTAATGACACTTTCAGAATTCAGGATGGCCAAAAGATTACTAACAAATAGTAACATATGTGTCCCTGGAGATACAGAACTATAAATATACTGAAATATATGGAAATAAATACTGAATTTTGTCATACCCAACACTTAAAATTAGGTAACACCACTACGACCAGCAATAATAGTAAATCTGCATGTCAGAATAGTTAAAACCCTTCTGTATGTTGTAGGTCCACCCTTTGACATGGATGTTGCACTTGGTGCTGGAAATCCTACGTTTGGATGATCACATCCACCTGTATCCCATGAAACATGCATATACCTGTTCCTAAGGTAAGGGGTATCCATGGGGGGGATACCAGGCTTAAAATCTGATTTTTGGTGCAGAGTCCATGTCCTGTATTGGCAGAACTCGGTGTGTGCATCAGATGTCAGAGGAAGGAGCAAAGAAAAGAGAAATTAAAGGAAGCTCCACATCGCAGAGTATTCTACTGACTATTTAAAAGATTG